ATTTTATGTTCAATATTAGAAAGATGTAATAATATTACACAAACATGCTCATCAAATAATTCAGTATGCGTTGTTAATTCATGTTGTTCACCGCAAGCAGTATGTTTACCATTCTTAGCAACATACATGTGTAAAACAGGTATTAATATATATTATTTACATTTGAGACTTCATCATACTCAACTAGAACAATTCATTTTATTCATAGTTGTGGATAAAGTATCATTCATTTGCATAATATCTCTGTCGAATGATACTTTTCTTGTTGTAAAGAGTAATGTAATAGATAAACTAAGATAGATGTGTGATATCCATTGTTAATTAACAAGAGAAACGAAAGAGTGATGAAGAACTGAAGTATGTTAAAGTGTTGAGTTTAATTATTAAATGAGACATTAATACAATTTCATATATATTTTAGTTCGTAGAATACAAGATTATAGGTTTAAAATAATTTAATACGTCCTTTTGTGTTTGAGCTGACATATTTTCTATATAGAACAAATTTTTGTGTTTACATCCATTGCATTAGATAGCAAAATATTATATATGAATAGATTAAAGTATACAAATCGTTATGATAGATTATCTCAAGTAAAATTTGTATTTTATTTGATTTCATATTCGTATTTATTCCTACTTTTTCTGTTAATATTGTAGTTGTTCTATTAATATAAATTTATAGTTATGTTAGGTGTAGTTCAAGAGACTTTGTTGCTCATCAATATTAAACTTGTTGTAAAATAAATGAGTCATCTGAGATGCAATCTAGGAGCAAATTATATGTGAAGGTGAATCAGTTCTAATAGAGAACCTACGATTAATGTTCTGTGATTAGCAGTCATCTCATTTATGCTGTCTGGACTGATGAGATGATCTAGTGAACTATACAATTAGACATTAGATACTATCTTTATCTTCAGATTAGTCTTTTATATCATATCTGAAACATTTGTAAAAAAATTTTTCTATAATAGTTTTCATTACATAAGGTATGTGAATAGAGAACTGCCGAAAAGTTATTTTTGTGCTAATAAATTTAAGTAAAACATTTGATTAGATATGAAACATTACTCAGAATAGAGTCGAAAAAAACTAAATAGGTGAATTTATGTAAATTAATGGAGAACTAATAACGAGTTGATAGTGAATTATGAGAGACTCCAGAATTAATCACTCAATTTCTCATTAGTTTATGTTGTATATCAGTTTCAATGATGAATGCTATATCAATCTTTTCATACCTATATATTGATCATAGTAAAAACAAATGTTATTAAAAATTCATTATTTTGATTATGATGTCCAAAGAACTATGAAAAAGTTGATACAAAGTTTATACTTTTCATTCTATTGAATATCTGTCAATCGTAGCTTGTAAAATTTGTAGAGAGACGAAAAACACCTCAGTCAGTGTAATTAGTACAGTGATTAATTCGAGACAGGCATCTTTTATAATATTGATTGAGATAACAGAGAGAATAGAAAACTGGAGATGTGATAATGATATGTGAAGAGATTTTTTGTAATACATTTTATTAATATTCTCTGTCTACATAAGTTTGAAATGACATAAAACAGACATCAGATGACTGCTGATTTTAGAATAAAGAAAAACATTGTACAAGAATAATGAATGTTGAGTGTTTAGTGATCTAATGTTGTGTTGTCTAAATATATAAAAATGTAACTTGTAGGATGGTTTTCTACTGGCAATATGACTAGTGGACGATATTGGCACACAGCATCTGTATTATCAAATGGAAAAGTATTAGTTACTGGCGGATACTATGGTAGCGCTTCAAATAGTGCTGAATTGTATGATCCATCAACAGGTATTTGGACAACTACTGGCAACATGATTATTACACGAAGTGGCCACACAGCATCTATATTATTAAATGGAAAAGTATTAGTTACTGGTGGATACAATGGTAGTAGTTATTTAAATAGTGCTGAATTGTATGATCCATCAACAAGTACTTGGACAACTACTGGTATCATGACTAATGCACGATGGTTTCACACAGCATCTGTGTTATCAAATAGAAAAGTATTAGTTACTGGTGGATATGGTAATTTAAATAGTGCTGAGCTGTATGATCCATCAACAGGTACTTGGACAGCTACTGGTAGCATGACTACTGCACGAGTTGATCACACAGCATCTGTATTATCAAATGGAAAAGTATTAGTTACTGGCGGATACTATGGTAGCGCTTCAAATAGTGCTGAATTGTATGATCCATCAACAGGTATTTGGACAACTACTGGCAACATGATTATTACACGAAGTGGCCACACAGCATCTATATTATTAAATGGAAAAGTATTAGTTACTGGTGGATACAATGGTAGTAGTTATTTAAATAGTGCTGAATTGTATGATCCATCAACAGGTATTTGGATAGCTACTGGTAGCATGATTAATGCACGAAGTGCCCACACAGCATCTGTATTATCAAATGGAAAAGTATTAGTTACTGATGGAGGCGTCAATGGTAGTATTGCTTTAAATAGTGCTGAGTTGTATGATCCATCAACAAGTACTTGGACAACTACTAGTAACTTGAATAATGCACGCTATGCTCACACAGCATCTGTGTTATCAAATGGCAAAGTATTAGTTACTGGTGGTACACCTAATGGGAATATTGCTTTGAATACTGCAGAATTATATTAATTATTTCAAACAAATTAACTTTTAGTCATTTTATTCTTTTTCTTACAAGTAGTTTAAATTCCAAACAATACTTTAGTTAGAAGAATTTTCATTTTAGAACGTCCGCGAATTATTTCCTTCCATATTTTTACTGAATTATCACATATTATAATAGTTGATCTCAAATAAAAATAAATACCGTTGTTTTTTTACTGTTGTAGATTAATTTCTTAGAATTAACAAAAGTTATTACTGATACTATAACTTTGATTATCCTTTCAAATGTTTTCTTAGTTTGACACGGTGCAGCTTATTATAAGATTTAACTGTTCTAATAGCATTCATCGGATTTAGAATGCATACGATCCTTGAAACATTTCACTTACCGAAAGGCTTCGAGGTAAATTCATAAATACGCCACAGATTAATATATCTGTAAATAACAACAACAGTAAATCTACAAATATATCAATGTACGGCATAATATGAATGTAGATGCGTGAAACAAAATACCGTTATTAAACTTATCTGTTTTTCGGTACAATTATGCATTTCAACGAGAGTGAACGGATCAATAGAGAAGATCTATCAGATACTTCTGTTGAATTTGTTAAAATTTGGCTTTAAGATCATATTGTGGATCTTTCATTTATAACATCTTACTTCAAAAGATGTTCTTCGTATTCTACTTTTTATGTTTAGTATAATAAAACTTTGTGAGTAGATTATCTGATTTCCTTATCAACGAATTAGATCGTAATATTTCGATAACGTTTCTCCTCATTGTTCATCCATTCTCATCTTATTTCGAATTCCAGTTAGAACATAATAATCTTCTTTTCACAATGGTAAATTTTGATAAACAGACTTTTAGCTTGTCATCTTTTTCTATTTTTGTAAAAGATTCTTTGTTTTTCCATACCTTCAAAAACTTTACTTATAGCTTAGTAATGAAGTTTGCAAAAGTTTTATTTTTTATATGAAAACATATTACAAATATAGGTTGGTAAAAGCAATAATCATTTCAATTAATTTGAAATGTTACTTTCAAATAATTGTAAATATTTTTGTCTAATACCATCATTCTTTTCCCATTCAAATTGAAATGTATCTTGTTTTGGTACACGATTTCTAACATAATCTGCTTTTTGACAATATTCTTTTAATTTATTTAATAACTGAGTTCGTGTTCGATATCGATGTTGTTCATTTGGATAAAGTTCTGTATAAGCTAATCGATCAGGTACAATAGGTATGCAACCAGCTCTACAAGCTTCTAACATTGCAACACCAAAGAATTCATGTTGAGCTGTTGATACAACAACATCTCCTTCAATTAATAATTGTTCATATTCAGATTTTGATTGTGCAAAACCCCAATGACGAATATAATTCGATGGTATTTTATTTAAAATTTCTGAAAATATTCCTGGACATTCACCATATGATTGACCAAGAATAATTAAAGAAAATGTTAATGAATATATTTCATATAGTTCAAGAATAACAGAAAAAAATGTTTCAGGATCTTTATCATGTTCCCAACGATGCGGCCAAACAATACATAATGGTCCTGTTTTATCAGTTTTAATCTTCAAAAGAAAAAAGATTATTTTTTATTTAGATCAAAGAAAATAATTTACTTCAATTGGTATTAATGATTTCTCTAATGGATAATATAAAACTTGTGATTTACTTTCGATTGTTTGTCGAATTTGTTGTATATTTGCTTTAGGTGATGGAATTCGATTAAGGAATGGTCCAAGTTTATCAAGAAATGTATTTAAATTATAAAATGAATTAAATAAACAAATATCAGTAACTAGAGCTGTTAAAATTTGATTATAACCATATTGAAAATCTCGTTGTTCTTGTTTTTCATTTTGTTTTGGATAAGCTAAATCATTTTCATGAAAATATATTATTTTCTTTAATGAACGAAGATCACTACGAAGCGATATCAATTCACTTAGATTAGTTATTGATGAACAAAATAAATATTTCAGTGAATTATTTTCATTTTTAGGTATTAAATCTGAAAGAATTAATGATGAACATCTTGCACGCCATGGCCATTTTGTACCTGGTAATGTTACTAAGATTGAACGAGGAGATAACGTACGATGAAGAAGATCTATTAATGAACGATGAGAACCATCATAGAATGCTTCGATTAATAGAATATCACACATCTAGAGAGAGAAAAAATGTATACATACATCTAATCATAATTGATAGTTAGTTGTTAAAGTAGAGATCTGCGGGACAGCTTCGAATCCCAAAATATCCCGTCCCGCGGGACATTCGGAATTGTTGTTGTAATTTTTTATTTATACAAAACAATGAGCATTATTCAGTATTATCTTCGAGAATTCTTCATAGCGAGATCTATTTTCGATTTTATCCAGTTGAAATCAATTTAAATTGGATGAATTTCAAAAGATATTCACGCTAAATAGGACAGGAATAGTGAGTACTTATAGACTGTAAGCCTTCTCAGAACTCTTTTCGAGTTCTAGTCCAACAGTTTAAAGTTGAAAAAGATACTAGAGCAGTTTAATCTGATATCTGAAAGCAACAAGATATATTCTTTTGGGAATAATGACTATAATTAATCGATTCTTTGACAATTGGCAAAATTTGGAAACCTCCACTTATCATCTATTTCTATCAACTCGCAGACATAACCAATCTATCTAAAATTCTTCTATTGATTTCTTAACAGATTATTCATATTTATTTTACAATCTGTTAATATCATTCAAAAATAAAATATTTATAGACTAGTATCAATTTTATTTTACTTAATTACAATTACTATACAAATAAAAGGTAAGAGAATATATTTCTATATAAAACCGTATATGTTATTCCATATTATTATTATCATCTTCGAAATTATTTGATGGTAATCTTGTTCGCTGAGCATATTCATTATTTTGATTAATGGTAAATGCTGGACTTGATGCTGTTCTTGACCGAGCTAAATTATGTAGAGATGACGATGATGATGAACTTGTTCGTGTTTGTTTATATTTTGAATTTGATTTCATTTTTTGATTTAAAGCTCGTTCTTCATCCATTTCAAGTGATGATTCACTTTCACTTAATTGTCTATAGAGTTGTTCTCGACGATCAACTTCAAGTTGTAATTTTCTTTGTAAACGTAAATTTTCATCTTTAGCATTTTGTTCTTCTAAAAGAATTTCTTGCATTTTTTTCTGATAATTTTCTTGTTGTACTGATAATTGTTGACGAAGTTCTTCAACTTCACGTTTTAATCGTTGAGCATAATCATTATTGGATGCAAAATGACGATTTGATGAATTTGTTTCAAATAATGAATTTGATCGAATATTCAATCGTTCATTTGTTGTTAAATTAGTTGAAGAAGTTGGATTACTACTCTAAAATACATTAAATTTTATTATATGTTATAGTGACATGATAGACAGACATTTTTGCACGTCGTACTTCTATTGAAATGCTACCATGGTATTTTTCATGGGTAAAAATTTCATCTCATCCTCTGGTACAGAACTTTATCTACATTCCTGCGATAATATAATGCCAGAGCCTTAGACTAAACCCTGACCGTATCATCTGATCATAGTAACCACTGAGTGCAAAACTGACAATACTAAATCATACTCCCAATCAAAGTTTTGTTGTATGATGACTAGAACCTCATACACACTCTTCGTTTATACATCAATTATCAAAATTAAATATAAATAAATATTTACTGTATTATATGGATGAGATTGTTGAATTTGTAAGTGAAGTAATTTTTTATCCGTTTCTAATTTTTCCATTCTTTTCCATAGACGATTCACTAAAGATTCTTGTTCTTTTTCTAATGTATTTTCTAATTCAATTTTTTCTCGTTTTAATTGTTCCTAAAAGAAGGAAAAAAAACAATTCTGATAATGAAAAAGTAAATAATATTTACTAAAGTATTTTGTTTATTAGTAGTTTCAGCTTCTAATCGATTAATTCTTTTCATTAATTGACTGATTTGTGAAGCTTGTTCTCGTTCCAATGATTGTTCTAATGACTGTTTTTCTTCACGAATTTGTTGTAACTTTTTTGATAAATCATTTGTTAAAAATTCTTCTTCACGTTCATAATTATTAGCTAAAGTTTCTTTTTCTTTTTTTAATTCTTGAATTTTTTTAAAAAGTGTATTCGAAATAAATTCTTCTTCTTGTTCAGTTTTAACTTGCATATTAACACTTGCACTTCAAAACAAAAAAAGATTATTTATATATAAAAATATTTTTTGTATCAACAAACTGTTTTAATTGTTTGATTTCTTGTTGTGAAGATTTTAAACGTAATTTAAATGTTTGAACTTCAATATTAAGAACACGATTTTCTTGTGTTAATGAATCAATACGTTTCATTAAATGTTCACAACTTAATTTTGATTCATTAGTATTTCTCGTTGAAGAATCAGCTACAGATGAAACATCTGATTCATATTCACTATCATTTATCATCGACTGAATAATACTAAATAAAAAATATAGATTAAATATTTTATTCAAAAAAAAACATTAATATATATTTACTTTTCATTGCTCATGATGAATTGACTAGAAATTTTATAGGAACATGAAGTTTTTGCTCAATAGAATGCATACGATACCGAATGGTTTATAATCCGACATTTATATCTACTTTCATGATTTGGCATATAATACATTAATGCACTTTGATAGAATTTACTAAAAATTTGCAAAAAAAGATTATTTAAATATAAAATATTGAAATATTTTAAAAAAATTAAAATATTTTTAAACGATATTAGCGACATGGTATTTATTGGATGATGGACACTGCCAGCGTTTTTGTTTTCCTTTGTATTATACGAAATAGAAAATGATTCGTTATAATTTTCAATAGATAATAATAATAATCATTACGATAAAAAAACTTACCTTGTTATTCTAGATCATAGCAATACTCTTTATTTATTCTCAATTTAAGCCGCTTTATCAATGTGGACTAATCAATTG